AATTCTCGGAACTAAATAAAAATAACAATTTTGTTTTTCCTTTGATGTGTCATCCGTCGGACGGATTCCTTTTGTTTGTTTTAAGTTTATTTTATACAAAAGTTTAGGTCTTTTATTCATCGATTGAGGCACTACGAAGTCTGTCGGGTCAGCTAGTGTATAATAATAACAATAGTAAAATATAATAAACTTAATGTGAATTTATGCATGCATATGCATATTTTATGCGTCATAATTCACGCTTCTTTTTAATTATTAACTAAGTTCAGTTAAGGAATCAAATAACATTTAATATAGTTTGGTCAGCGTCGTACATACGGACAGACATGCGAGAAAATTAATTACGATTTTATCAAAAAGGTAATGTATTCTTTCACTTTATTCTTGTACTGTATTGTATTTGAAATGTGGGTGTGGCGGAGGATTCTACGAATACCGTGGACTGCCATGAGAACTAACGAGTCCATTATAAGGGAGCTAAACATCCGAAAGAGGCTCTCTGCTATCTGCCGGGAACGTGTTATGAGCTTCTTCGGACACATCATGCGGTCTCCCAGACTTGAATTAGAGAAGCTTATAATTGCGGGTCGCATAGAGGGCAAGCGTGCCGTGGGCAGAACCCTAGCCAAATGGTCAGATCTGGTTAAGGAAGCGGTCCATGCCACCCGTGATCTAACACAGTGGAGGAACGTTTTTTTTTTTATATGGCTTAGATGTGTAGACGAGCTCATAGCCCACCTGGTGTTAAGTGGTTACTGGATCCCATAGACGTCTACAACGTAAATGCGCCACATACCTTGATATATAAGTTCTGAGGTCTCAGTATAGTTACAACGGCTGCCCCACCCTTCAAACCGAAACGCATTACTGCTTCACGGCAGAAATAGGCAGGGTGGTGGTACCTACCCGTGCGGACTCACAAAGGGTCCTACAACCAAAAACGTCTCATGTGGCCATGATCCTCAGCAGTGACGGAACGATATAGAAGAATAGAAAGAACTGAAATCAATGAAATTGTTTAAACAAACTTACTGCGTTCTTCGGTTGCAGCATGCTGTAATACGACAGCACACAATAACAATAACACGGCCGACCGACTCATGTTACGTGTACGTTTTGAAGAATAACGATATGATGTCGCAAATTTATATGTCTCTAATACCAATATTAAACCGATAGAATTACCCAGAATCCCTATTTCGGTTCGCACTTTACTGTTAATTAATTGTGCATACGCTGTGAAGCAATATTACATTTCTGTTATCAATTAGGCACAACATATACGAATATTTTTGTATTCGTGTCCGATCGCAATTTTATTTTTATTTTTTATTACTTATATGGGTGAACGAGCTCAAAGCCCACCTGGTGTTAAGTGGTTACTGGAGCCCATAGATATCTACAACGTAAATGCCAACAAACACCTTGAGATATAAGTTCTAAGGTCTCAGTATAGTTACAACGGCTGCCCGACCCTTCAACCCGAAACGCATTACTGCTTCACGGCAGAAATAGGCGGGGCGGTGGTACCTACCCGTGCGGACTCACAAGAGGTCCTACCACGGGTAATTACGCAAATTATAATTTTCCGGGTGTGATTTTCATTACACGATGTTATTCCTTCAGTGTGGAAGTCAATCGTGAACATTTGATAAGTACATTAAGAAAAATTGGTACCCGCCTGCAGGATTAGAATACCGTTGCATCGCTAGATACGAATGCACCGGACGTCTTATCCTTTAGGCCACGACGACTTCCAAATTTAATACAAGTTTTAATTACATTACGTGGATCTAAGGATTTGATTGTGTTTAATTTAAGTTTAATAACGAAGCGAAAAAATAGATTAAGCAGAGCAGAACATAATAAAAGAATTCGAACCCAATAGAATCTAAGCATAAATCTTAGAATAGAATGTGAGCTGGCACCTAATTAACTCTCACTTGTAATTTCATCGTGCGTTAAAACCTACTTTATTAAATCAAACATTTTTAAACTATGGGAAATTAATAGAAAGCTGGACGTAAATTATAAAAACTTTTCGTTTTGAAACTAAACAAAAGCTACGTCTACTTTACAACATGGTACCTCTGATTTTCAAATCAATCAAAAATAACCTAATAAATGAATAAAAATAATTATTATTTAGGTAAAGCTACTTATAAATAGAAAATCTGTGTTAGCTCACCGTCGGTTGGCAGAGTTCCTAGAAGGCTGGCAGCATTTCCACGCTGGATAGCAATGCTAATTCTTTGTGCAAAATACGTACCGGCCTTCTGGTCTCCCGAGGCCTCAAAAAACCTCTAATAACCTCTTCTAACCAACCTCTTTTAATTAGCTACAACCGTAAAATCTTAAAATTTAAATAATAAGCGCTAAAGGTATTTATTACGTACAATCATTATATGCAACTTAGTTGTTGACAGTCTATTCGCAGCCTAATATTGTCAGCCTTGGACAATTCCATCCGCTTTGCGGTTTGATAAATTTGTAGAACGAAATCTGTTATTGTGATAACACTAAAATTGGAATTGATAGTTTGTTCTTAATACCTTGTTATGATGCGTGAATATCTTGGTGTTCAGTTGTCGTATACATTATTGTAGCGATCCCCATTAGTCGTTGATATCAGAAATGCCAATGAAACTGAAATAATATCGAAGAGACAGAAGGCATTAGGTAAAGACATCCGGAATGCGTTTTTTTTTATTGCCAGTGTAGGCAGACGAGCATACGGTCCACCTGATAGTGAGTAGTTACCGTCGCTTATGGACTTCAGGAATGTCAGGGACAGAGCCAAGCTGCTGCCTACCTTTGCGTTGCTAATTTCAGTTGTAGGCGTTGATGGCCTAACAGAGCGAGGCTTAATTTCTATCATATATTTTTCTATCTTTTGAATGCTTTATACCACTCAAAAGCATGTATTTTTGAAAAAGTCGACTTACCGTATGCCTTCTATAACAATTTCGGTCGTCCCGAACACGAAATTCCAATGCAAAGTTCAAGACAAACTCTTTGTTCGATGTTTTTGTCCATTATAATATTTTTTTAATTAAGAATTAGAGGAGGATTTTTTCTCCTACCCACGCCGAAAGTTCGGTTTTCCTCCCGCTGTACAGGGAAGAAAGTGTAACTTTTCTCTCTGGGTACTGACAAGTGCGCATGCGCGTTAGTGTCTACGTCTGTTCTCACGCACCTAAAATTCTCCGCCATTGTTGTGTTCGGGTAATTTGCAATATTGTGTTTAGTGTAAAAGTGAAATTAACAAAAGGCAATAAAATTTAATACTGAAGCATTAAACAAAGATGAGTTCATCAGAGAGTTCTTATTCAATTAGTAGTAGTCTATTTAAAAATTAGAAAATAGTTAAATTGTTTTTTTATGAGCTCCGCCCCTCTACCCCCTACCAGGGCTTTCGCCGCTGGACCCCGGCTCGGTACTCCACGAACTTTCGGCCTGGTAGGAGAAAAAATAGTATGTGCACCGCGGGAAAAAAGTAGGAAATCTCATCCCGCGTGCTTGCCACCCTCGCCTTCGGCTCGGGCCGGCACAATGTATTATATTCCGCGATTTTTACTGAGTATCCAATAACAACCAAAATCGTAATATTTTGAAACCTTTAAACATGATATAACTGACTCGATGGTGCGGTAATAAATGCCCCTGATTGCTGGGACGTGGTTCGCGGGCTTGATTCCAATATCGGGCAAAATTTTGTGTGATGCTTGCTTGTTTGCCCTTTCTCTCGGTGTTCAAAGGGCGTAAAGTACATTTGTAGCTCTACGAATTGCCAGAAGCGGTTAAAAGTGACTAGGCAATAGATAGGGGATTGGGGAATGGCAGTGTTGAAAAAGTATTTTCAGAGCCACGTGGTAGAACCTAATGGTGGTACTACAAGCCATCCGCAATACAATATCCTATAATACATCATTTTCTCAGGTTCAGATTTGTATAAAAGAAAATTCAATAAAATCAATAAAAAATATAGTCCCCGAAGCGAAGCGAAGCGGGTCGCTACTTAAGTATGTTTATCAGAGTTTGGTTCCCATAGTACAGGGAATGTTAGTTTGGGGCCAAACAACCGTGTGTGACTTGTCTCCGGTTATTATGAATAGTAAAGTCAACATGCGATCTGACGATGCGACTTGGCAGTTATTTTTAACTTTTCCTACAACTCGCCATTTTCTGAAGTAATAGAAATAGAAAGAATACTTTAAAATTATCTCATAAAGATCAGAGTTCCTGGTGGTTTTTCGATGTGGAGCACATACATCCCCCATCTCGATATGGTATGAGCCCGAAGCTTTAATACCTACTATTGCGTAACGGGTGCCCCATGTGTCAACAGGAATGCAACTTGATGCATTAATGATGATGCATAAAGGATGAAAAGGATGAGGAGACTGCAGCCTTGTTGGAACAGAAAATCAGTGCCTATAATTATTTCCTCTTCTCAAATCTTCGCACTCAAAAATTATGCGGTTGATAGTATCTACATTGTCATTGCAAGTTGGATTAAAGGATTAATTTCATCGGCTTACGATACTATACCTATAATTCTGTACTTTCTTCCATATCAATTTATCAAATGAAATATTTCATGTGCTTGGAGTAATTGAAAATTTCAAAGGGAGTTTGGTCTTGTAGCTATACCTGAACGTTTTGAGGAATACCCAATGAAGAGTCAGGTCCTACCAGTACATTGTCAACACATTCAGTGCATCAACAGTGCACATTGTCACTCCGTTCTCAGTATAAGAATTCTAATTTATTTAAGTTTTATTAAAAAGTAAAACAATAATACGATACAAAGATATATTAATTTATTAAATACAATATTACTTATGTTACATATGCATAATAAATAACAGAAAACAGTTATTAAAGTTCACTATACATTATTATATACCAAACAGTCTCCGTAGATGTGAATGGATGAATTTATAAATTAGTATGGTTTTGGTGAAAAGTTTTATTTAAAAAATTATCAAAATATGAAATTAACCACCCACAGAGATCGCCACTGCCGATCCACTGTCACTCTTAGCGTTACTGAGGGCGTAGTTGCTCTTTCCGCAAGTACTGCAGCCGGCACCCTGATATGACTTCATTCCTTGAGAAGCAAGATCCAGAGCTCCACTTAAAGCTGATCCCGCCTTTCTATATGAGCTGGACCCATATCCACCGCCTTGTTGCCACTGTCCACCACTCGATGATTGCGAATGATGTTGTTCACTGATCGAACTATCGCCTCCTTGAGAAAAGCCGCCGCTTTGAGAGCCAGCGTCAATTTGCTGTTGTTGAGCTTCGCCAGAAAATCCGCCATCATTGTGACCAAAACTAGATCCACCACTGTTCCCGTATGAGCTCTTAACTTGAGAGTTTGCAGAACTAAAGCGAGCACTCTGCTCTTGAGAGCTACCAAATCCACTCCCTTGATTTTGTGAGCCACTGAATCCACTCCCTTGACCACGTGAATCACTGAAACCACTTCCTTGGCCTTGTGATCCACTGTACCCACTACCTTGGTTTTGTGAGCCACTGAATTGACTCCCTTGACCATGTGAACCACTGAATCCACTCCCTTGGCCTTGTGATCCACTGTACTCACTCCCTTGGTTTTGTGAGCCACTGAACCCATTCCCTCCACCATGTGAACCACTGAATCCACCGCCTTGGCTTTGTGATCCACTGTACCCACTGCCTTGGTTTTGCGAGCCACTGAATCCACTCCCTTGGGCTTGTGATCCACTAAACCCGCTTCCTCGGTCTTGTGAGCCACTGAATCCACCTCCTTGACCTTGCGAGCTACTAAATCCACTATCTTGGCCTTGTGAGCCACTGAACCCACTTCCTTGGCCTTGAGAACCACTGAATCCTTTCTGTTGACCATGCGAACCACCGAATCCACCCTCTTGACTTTGTGATTGAGAGCTAAAACCCCCAAATTGCTTGCGACCTCCAAATTGCTTGCTCTGATATGAATAGTGTGATTCTTTGAAACTAGCAGCATTTTCATTCTGTCCGTTTCCCCCGACTCCATCTGAACTGAACCCAGAACTTCCTACTGCAGTAGCACCTGCACCTGATCCTCCACTGCTCTCAATGGATCCACTGTTAATAGCGCCAGCACTAGCTTGACCTGCAGCTCCTGAATTGCCACTAGCACCATAACCTGCAGATTTAGATCCTAAGCCGGCACCGACATCTGATCCAACAGAGGAAGAAGCTAGGGAGAATGCTTGACCAGCTGTTTGAGCCCCGCCCTCGGCAGCAGCAGCTGCTCCACTAAATACACCTTGGGCGCTTCCATCAGAACCACGCGCTACCCCTGTCCATTGCTGTGTGCGGAATATTGGAGGTGGTCCCGGAGGCCCAAGGTACCTAAAATGACGTGGATGATGATGAAATCTGTGATATTCACATTCATCACACGGGGATCGAACAACTCGCGTTAGTGAATCTGAAACAAAAAATAATAAATAAAATGTTGGCTTATGGACTACTACAATTAAACTCGTCTTGTTCTTTCGAGTTTAGGCACGTAATAATAATTATTCGGTCGATGCTGGAAGATACACCGGCAGGTAATCGCTTACTGCGTTGCTGCCATGCAAAACAAACATAATTATTCATGTTTCAAATCAGTACATATTTTATTAGTTTTATTGATGATAACATCATGACAGAAATTCGTATCCTAATTTGCATTCATTATTTCATTAACCCATAGATACTTAAATACGTTTAAATATGTAAATAATATACACCCAGACAAATAGCAAACAAATCTGTTCATCACACGAATGTTCGCCGATGTGGGAATCGAACCCACGACCCTCAGCGCAACAATTAAAGGCGCTAACTACAGTACCACCAAATCAGTTAGTCGCTTTAAGCCATAAGAAAGTCGGCTTGTGATAATATAATCTATGGAAATACACTATTAGCCTTTTCAAGCATTTAATGGAACTAGAGGTCCCGCAGTAGTCGAAATTCGACTATACTTAAATTAATTGGAATTGTAAGTTTGTACACTATTATGATTGTATTTTATACTTCTATAATCACAAATTTCGCCAAGACTACACTATAAAAAATATTATCAAAGACAAACAATATGTTTTCTTTATTGATTTAATATATCTTTTATGCATTATTTAAAAAAAATATTAGCATTGTGCACTTCTTCTCTATATTTTCTATAAGTGTGGAAAATTTCAAACTCCTCCGTCCGCGCAAATTTCGTAAAAAGGGATACAAAGTTTTTGCTTCACGTATTAATATTTAAAGATGTTAATATCTAAAGGACTTTTTGGCAGGAACGCGAGGAGTGAAGTTGTGTGATTTGTTTTATTTTGTCTATTTAGTGTTTCTTCAGTTTTAAATTTGTAATAATGGTGGATTATTAACTGATTAATATCTGTGAAAGTGCACAAATGTAGAAAAATGAAACAAAACCGCTGGACGTAACTTCTCGGGATCCTCCAAAAAGTCCACTGAAAAAATCTCAGTAAATGACCACCATTCGACTAAGATTCTATTTCATCCCATATCATCTCATTTCATTTCATCTCACTCCATATTATAATTTTTCATAAAAATAAGAATATAAATACAAATAAGACATGACTTAAAGGTCTTAGTTACCAGGTCATAAAAACCCTTAAAAATAATAATTAATATCTAAAATATACCTTCGTTTTGCCAATACTGTCCGAGCACAGCACAGTGTGCTGAGAGGAGAACCACAGCAAATATTGTCAATGTCGTCTCCGCCATTACGTTTAATCTAATAACCGATATTCGCAATACGTACAATTTATACTTTACAAATGAAGGATGTGAAAAACAGCTTCCAAGTATCACTAGAATAATTTATTTAGCATCAAATTGTCATAGTAAACATCAGAGCTTAGTAACAGAGGGGAACAACAGAGCTATCTTGTTATACCTACATACGTTTTGCGATAATGTACCTATGTGGTAAAATCCAGCGAAATTTGTGAGGTCATGTTATTATGTCATCGTCTGGTCCATTTTAGGTGCATGATACGCTCGGACGCATTTATGGTAGATGTAATTGATGCACATTATTGTTTTTTTTTATTGCTTAGATGGGTGGATGAGCTCACAGCCCACCTGGTGTGAAGTGGTTACTGGAGCCCATGGACATCTACAACTTAAATGCGCCACCCACCTTGAGATATAAGTTCTAAGGTATCAGTATAGTTACAACGGCTGCCCCACCCTTCAAACCGAAACGCATTACTGCTTCACGGCAGAAATCGACAGGGTGGTGGTACCTACCCGTGCGGACTCACAAGAGGTCCTACCGCCAGTAAAATTTATTTATTAGCTTTGATGTTATAAAATTGTCACGACAGTTGAATATGCAATAAAAAGATGAATTTTTTTCGTACCTAATCGTTGGTTGGGTGCTGTTCCAACTCCGCACGGACTGATAGGTAATTTCACGGAGTTCAAACTCAAAGCAGTTTACAGTTAGTTGTTTTAATACTACATAGAAAGGAAATATACATAGGCGGCACTGAAAATTTCGGGAATTAACGAAGTGACACAACATCACTATTTAAAAATGTATTTATTGCTTTTCGAAGTATTTTCCGCGAAATTGGACACATTTTTCCATACGATGGTACCAATCATTGAAGCAACCATTCCATTCGGAAGTTGGGGTCTCCAAAATGGCCGTTTTGTAGGCGTCCACAGCTTCTTCAGGTGATGAAAATCTCTGTCCACGCAATTTATTCTTTATTTTAGAGAAAGTATAGAAATCATTAGGGCTTAGGTCGGGGCTGTACGGCGGATGGTCTAATAATTCTATGTTTTCTTGCTCTAAAAACTCTTTTGTTCTGTGCGCGGTGTGAGAACTCGTATTGTCGTGATGGAGGACGATGCGGCGGTTGCAATTCTCCCTCTCAGCCCTCATATATATATATACATATATTATTTTTTTATTGCTTAGATGGATGGACGAGCTCACAGCCCACCTGGTGTTAAGTGGTTACTGGAGCCCATAGACATCTGCAACGTAAATGCGCCACCCACCTCGAGATATAAGTTCTAAGATCTCAGTATAGTTACAACGGCTGCCCCACCCTTCAAACCGAAACGCATTACTGTTTCAGGGCAGAAATAGGCGGGGTGGTGGTACCTACCCGTGCGGACTCCCAAGAGGTCCTACCACCAGTGATTATAAATATTTGTTACTTCGGAAAAAATTCTCGTATTCTCCTTAACAACAAAACAAACTGCTCTTTGGAATTAAAGTATTAAGATCTTGCTAGAAATACTGTTACAATAATAATAACTAGAGGTCCCGCAGTAGTTGAAATTCGACTATAATTAATTGGTATTATAAGTTTCTACACTACTATGATTGTATTTTATACTTCTATAATCACAAATTTCGCCAAGACTACTCTATAAAAAATATTAACAAAGACAAACAATATTTAATCTCAATTTGACAACAGACGTCAAGAACAAGAGTTTGACAATAAATAGTATGCATGCGTGTGTGCGTCAAATACACGGTATGTAGTGTGCGTAATGTTTTCTTTATTGATTTAATGTATCATTTATGCATTATTTAAAAAAAATATTAGCATTGTGCACTTCTTCTCTATATTCTCTATAAGTGTGGAAAATTTCATACTCCTCCGCCCGCGCAATTTTCGTAAAAAGGGATACAAAGTTTTTGCGTCACGTATTAATATATAGATAATAATAATACGCCCATTTTATTTCCAAAAAAAAAAAAAAGAAAAAAAAAAACACCTTATCAAATAAAAATTACAAAATTAAATATAAACTTGTGTTATTAGAACCCCATTCGGGTAAAGGCCTCCTCCAGCTTACTCCACTCTTCCCTATCCTTGGCTTTATTACCTATATAACTGTTACAATAAGAGAGAAAAAAAAATTACTTGAGTGTTTTAATAGAGTGGAGTATTACAGTGTATCGATCGAATATCTGTGACAGCGTTAAAAGAAGCACTAAGAATGTCATTTTTGAAACATTTCATGCGCTTGGTATTTATTGAACGCGCATTGAGCTATTCACGTTAACTCTTCATGAAATTACCGCTGTTTCCACTGAAAAATATCTAACCATCCACATAATATGCTTCTAAGGAAAGAATCCGAAGAAATCCTGTCCAAAAGCAAAATATGTCTGTGCAGGGAAATGTAGGGTGGTTTTTTTTATTGCTTAGATGGGTGGACGAGCTCACAGCCCACCTGGTGTTAGCGGTTACTGGAGCCCATACAGGTTATATAACCTATTCAAAGTCACGTCGCATATCAATTGCTTCTGGTCGAAACTGAAGCTAAAATTTAAAAAAAAAAACAGGGTGGTAAAATCAGAGCACATTCGAAGTTCGTACGCAAAAGAAGGTCAGAGAAATAGAAACCTAATGATCGCGTGCGAGTTACATATTATATGTTTTTATTTTTTTTATTTCACTTAGTTATGGTAAACGGTTTCCGCCATACGTACCTAGGGGTATCTTTGATGAGGCATCAGGTTGATTCTGTTTTGAAGATACATGTCATAACGCTAAAGGGACTAGCGCCACAAAGGGGGCTTATTCTTGAGTTTGATACAGTGAGGAGGGAATTGTCATCAGTATATTAGATCAAAGTAATAATTAATGTGTAATTATCGGCACTTTAAATATGTTCAAATTTTCCAGTTAATCGATCGTTTTTACCTTTCTGAAGATGATTGTTATGTTTGAAGATTTTTTTTATGCCTGTATTGGTGGACGATTTCACAGCCCACAGTTAAGTGGTTACTGGAGCCCATAGACATCAACTAAGTAAATGCCGCCATCCACCTTGAGACCTGAATTGTAAGGCTCGGTAATACAGTACAACTGCTGCACCACCCTTCAAATCGAAACGCATTATTGCTTCAAGGCAAAATACACATTATTATTCCTTCACTCCCTCTTCTTCATTAACTCTATAAATATTTGAAATTTTTTATATTGCCCTTGTAAGCAGACCAGCATACGGCCCACCTGATGGTGAGTGGTATTATGTGTATGGTATGTATTACTCCTACATTAGCTCTCAGGCTCGGTAGAAAAAAGACAGAAGGTTTATTCAATGGATTGAAACCCCTTATATCATTCCACATTTCCAACACAGTTATAAAATTCAGAAATAAAAATTTTTTATCAACCACTAAACCAACGAGAGTATTACTAAGCTTGACATTTAATTAGCACTAATTTATAATTCTAATAGAAGTCTAACAGACTAAGTACAAACACTATAAATCAATATTTCGTATAAATTTAGCAAGTTCCTGGCAAAGGGGATTTCCCCGAGGCCCGTATTGTCCAGCACTCATTGGATCTGATAAGACGCGCTAAGCATGGCTTTATGTTGTTACCCGTCGCCTGAGTTGAAAATGTATTTTTTTTTATTGCTTAGGTGGGTGGACGAGCTCATGACCCACTTGGTGCTAAGCGGTTACCGGAGCCGGACTCACAAGAGGTCTTACCTCTAAACTTCCAAAAAAGGGGTCGCCAAATGGCGGATCGATGTACGTTTCCGGACCTCCGACCCATTTTATGCCGACCGCGAAAACACAGCAAGTTTGACTACAAAGTATGGAAATTTTCAGTCAAGAATTCTGGATGAAAATTGTGTCGTAATCAATATCCAGAACTATAAAAATTAGCTTTAAAGCTTCTTACTTTGTTTGGATCAACATATTATTATACATATTTGTGAAGCAGCATTTTCAAAGATAAAGTACATTGAGAATAAATTACTATCTCAACTGACATGCCATCTCCAGGATTTAATGTCATTGATGATCTTGCACTAATTTTACTTCAAACTTGAGACAGAAAGTCAAACAAGAAATAGCATTTTGCTCTTGAAATGTAAAAAAATACCTTTGTTATTTCGGTAATTACATTTTTTTAACAAAATTATTTGTTTTCCATAAAATACGGTACAGACCGCGGCGGTCGTGTCATTTCTTAAAACAGACTCTAAGCGAAACTAATTGGTGACCTAAAACATTTAGAAACTTCTCGCAGGCATCTTTTAGTCAAATGAAAAACTTATTGAAATTTGACAATAATTTATTCAACCTTAAAATACTCGTAAATCACTTTTTTTTTGGTAACTTTTGTAAGTCCGTGTTAAAAATTAACCTCTCGCTACAGAATTGGAGCTAGACTGGGCTGATCCTCCTCGACTGATAGCGATGCTCTTTGAAATACTAATCGAGGTTCCGCCTCCTGGGCGGTTGAAGCCACCACCACCAAAACCGGGTCGGTTAAATCCGCCACCGCCGAATCCAGGTCTGGACTGAAAACCTGGACGGCCGAAGGCACCGGCTTGCGCTTGAGCATTAGCCTGACTGAATTGGGGCGATCGGGCTACGCGTGTAGCTGGAAACAAACAAAATATTATTCTAAATCACTTTTGTATCGTAGTAGATAAATAAAAACCTGTTTTCGATTCTTTTTTCGTCTAAAGTTATGGCAAATTCTCATTGAGCATTGAACTTTTTTTTTTTTAGCTTACATGGGTGAACGAGCTCACAGCCCACCTGGTGTTTAGTGGTTACTGGAGCCCATAGACATCTACAACGTAAATGCACCACCCACCTTGAGATATAAGCTCTAAGGTCTCAAGTATAGTTACAGCAGCTGCCCCACCCTTCAAACCGAAACGCATTACTGCTTCACGGCAGAAATTGGCAGAGCGGTGATACCTACCCGTGCAGACTCACAAGACCTCCTACCACTAAAAAAGTGGTAAGTAAGTTAAGGTTAAGTTCTTATTAATCTAGAATGTTTATTGCTAGCCATAGGATTGTAACTGAGTTAAACATGCTCGTTAAATCACGGTATGTTACAGCAGATTAAAAAAACAATTATGTATATATTGAGTGAATTACCTGCATCGATTTGATTACAACAAATAATTAAGAGAACGAGACCACATAAAACACTAGTGCCGGCCATATTGCGAATATTCGTAACCAATACTAAACTACGAATAATCACACCACAATATATATTCGAATTGAAACACGATTAATTTGGACATTACCGTGAAATTTAGCGCGAGTTTAGTTTGTTTAAAACCAATTTACCTTCAGTTGACTAGACAACCGAATTCGATCTTTGTATATATGGATATCAAGATTATAATTGATTGAATTTATTTTTGTTGAGAAGTATTGAACAGGGGATAATAATATAGTAGAGTATGTTTATCAAGTAAATATTTGTACATTTTATAGTTTGTATAGTGATTTTACAAGAACGACTATGGGTTTCCCGATGAAATATAAAAATACGGTAAACCACAATTGGATGGGTTTTTTTTTGTCATGTAACACTTATGCAATAGGGAACCATGTATCGTGTTGAAACTTTTCTGATCCAATAACATAAAAACTTGTTAGTTAGCATTTGCTAACCAGCGGACAAATAATTGTATTATTTATTTCCTACTTATTCGCTGGTAGTCTATAGGACTACATTGGCTTCCGTGGACGGGTAGGTGAACTCACGGATTAATCTGACAGAATTTGCTAGCACTAACCCTAGCAAGAGCAATTGTTCGCAGAATCTACCTAGAACGGAATTGGAACCTTTTTTTTTTATTGCTTAGATGTGTAGACGAGCTCACAGCCCATCTGATGTTAAGTAGTTACTGGAGCCCATAGACATCTACAACGTAAATGCGCCACACACCTTGAGATATAATCGAAATGTGAGTGTGAGTTTTAAGGTCTCAGTATAGTCACAACGGCTGCCCGGCCCTTCAAACCGAAACGCATTACTGCTTCACGGCAGAAAGAGGCGGGTACCTACCCGTGCGGACTCACAAGAGGTCCTACCACCAGTAATTACGCAAATTATAATTTTTTTTAGGCCACGACGACGACGACTGCTGAAAAGATCCGGTAAGAAATTCAGTGGGTTGCGTTTATGGGTTGATTCGCTCGTCGAATAATTTGTCGTAATCGACTAGTACGATGAGGAAGGTGACCGGTGCTTGAAGATACTGAAATCACCGATTGGGAATCCGGGGTACCGAGAAAACATATTTCGGCCCAAAGGCCTTTCCAGTTTCACCAGGACAGGTGGGCGAGCAAATGCTCAGCTATGAGGTGTGGGATTTGCTAACAGCTACCCGAGCGCCTCCGAAGGAGACCTAACAACTCAAGAGCAGCTGCTTCGCGAATGAATCTACTACCGGATCGGAATCGCGATTTGCTTATTCCGCTAAGCAGTCGTGTTTTCGAACTCGGAGGGTAGGAAAACCACTATATAATGAAAATAAAACTTATAACGCGTGGTTGAAGGTCGGTGTTAGTTTTTTTGTATATTAGTCAGATGGGTATTCGATACTTTCGGATTTTTTTAAACCAGTGTGCTTAGTGCGCCCCTACCGGCAAACGTAGGCAAACGTTCCAACTCCATACAAATTTGAGTTAACTTTTACGCTATCGAAAATGTTAAAAAACTTACACTAGGCACACTGGTGTTCAGTGGTTACCGAAGTCCATAGACATCAACAACGTAAATGAGGTCTAAGTCTCAGTTTTACAGCACTACGGCTGTCCCAACCTTCAAATGGCATATATGGATGGCTACGCTAAATATTTCACATCACTTAAAACAAGGTAACTCGCTGCCTCTTCTGAGGTGGTTGTCTGGGCGTCAGTTGACTTCGATTGAAAATTTAAAATAGTCAGTTATAATGTATCTTTTTACTAATCATTTTATTAATCTATTATTCAATGGCAATATTTTAGTTACAATAAAGATGAAAGAAAATGGTTATAAGTATTCAGTTTTTCATTGCAAATTAGGCATTCCTAATGAGAATAAGAATTTTTATGGGAGACGCATCTACGATATAAATACAATTTCTCAATGGCCTGTAAACTAAGAGCAGCTTGAATCATCAGCAGCAGAAGATCTCTATCCGATTAAAATAGTATAGTTATAATGCGTATTTAATATAGTATTTGGCACCGCTTTCAGAAGCTATTCCTTTATAATTATTATATTATAATTATTAGAAATAGTATTTGCTTTATAATAAAATATTATAGTTTAGAAATAAGTCTTTCAGAAAGAAGAAAAACACGGAAAATTTGAACTCTGTTGCTAAAGAGAGATATAATAAAAAATATTCCAAAATATCCCAATTCTAATATATTTTTATATTCAACCTTATTTTTCCAATACTACATTTACAGTATTTAGGATATATTAAAAATGTAATGTCATATACTGTCACTGTCAAACAATGCCTCACTACAACTTAAGTTTAGTGAAGTAAATAGGTAGAAATATTAAATTAAATAAATATAATTACAAATGGAATTAGAAGACTTAAAAAATCCGAGTAGATTCCAGAAGCACACGAATATTTTAATTTGGAAATCGTTCTTACAAAGACAGTGCGTTGCATTTTGAACACTTTTAACTCCTTCTATTTGCCTGCATATGCATATACTTACATATATGTATCTAGGTAGCTGAAACTCTGTGCGCTATTTTCACAAACTTCAAGACTATGAAGATAGTTCGCAACCGTATCAAGGAACGATAACAATAGTCGTCGTGGCCTAAAGGATAAGAAGTCCGGTGCATTCGTATGTAGCGATGCACCGGTGTTCGAATCTCAGGCGGGTACCAATTTTTCTAATGAAATACGTACTTAACAAATGTTCACGATTGACTTCCACGGTGAAGGAATAACATCGTGTAATAAAAATCAAACCCGCAAAATTATAATTTGCGTAATCACTGGTGGTAGGACCTCTTGTGAGTCCGCACGGGTAGGTACCACCACCCCGCCTATTTCTGTCGTGAAGCAGTAATGCGTTTCGGTATGAAGGGTGGGGTAGCCGTTGTAACTATACTGAGACCTTAGAACTTATATCTCAAGGTGGGTGGCGCATTTACATTGTAGATGTCTGTGGGCTCCAGTAACCACTTAACACCAGGTGGGCTGTGAGCTCGTCCACACACCTAAGCAATAAAAAAATAAAAAACAATATGTTTTATTTGCTGATGGTATTATATCCTCCTAAAACGAGTCGTAGACCTAATTGAAAGTACTATTATGATTTTTTCTCGCGTTTTTTATTGTCATTATAATGTTTACGGTGTCCCTATATAACCTATGACACATATGTGTTTAATTTTCAATTCTAATGTAATTTGAAACATCAAAAAATAATACATAGTGTTTTTCATTAAGGTACGTTTTAATATTATTTAAATGTCACTGCTGGTTTTCAACTCAATATTTTTTTTTTATTGCCCTTTTAGGCAGACGAGCTTACGGCCCACCTGATGGTGAGTGGTTACCGTCGCCCATGGACTTCAGCAGTGCCAGGGGCAGAGCCAAGCCGCTGCCTACCGAAACTGCCTACTGCTAAATAATAATCATCTTTTCTAGGCGCCGATGGAAAATCCTGCTCTTCGAAGGTCTCTTCGCTGGGATACTCTTCCTGAGCGCTGTGTTTATTGCCAACCCTGTGTTTCTTACTCCACTTCAAGCCGAACCTGAACCGCCTCTTACTGGAGCGGACATATTAGTTTCTCTGAACCGAAGAACTATAATGGGGTATGCCCCTAATACGGAACCCTTCGCCGCTATAATGGGAAGGGCTGCTAAATTCCTGAACATAAGTACGTTACATCTTTCATAAATTTTTTAAGACAGTTGAAGTTTTTCTTTTGTCACATTCAGAAGCACGATGCGTAGGTACATGACACAAATATATTTTTTAGCACGTCTTAATTCAACTCATTTTGAGTATAACCAAGAATTCTCAATATTTTGCCTATCATAATATATTATCATTCATTTAATATCATTCAAACATCATTTAATAAATGATGCTTTGTCCTAAATATACTACGTACTAGAGTAACCCTCAAACCCCACGCTGTTATTATTGTGAAACATCAAATGAAATACTTTGTTTTGCGGTAATTACCACAAAATCTTCTTTTAAGTGTTTATTTACAACAATAGTTTTACATAAACATAATCAAGGAATTGCATTCGTTTGAAAATTTTCAGTGAAACAGTTTAAATTATTAATTATTCAGATATGTAATCTTCATCATCATCAAACCGAATATCTGATAAGTGAAGTTTTAAAATTTTCAATCACTTTAAATATTAGTTATCATTTCTTAACCAAATCTAACAAAACTAAAATAACTTTTAACACGTACCTACATACGTTAGAACATTAATTTAAGTACTTTTAAAAAAATCTGATTCAAATATTTTTTTATTTTTATTGTATATCACAAAGTTTAGATTCTTTTGAAATTGTAAATATTGGTTTGTAAATGACATATCGTATTAAAATAATTTCAGTGTTAATGATAATGGGTGAATTCGAATCAAAGTATAATTCAAAATATGTAGTAACTGAAATACGACCAGAATTCATTAAAATTTGACATTGCAATTTCCATCTCTCAAAAAAAAAAAAAAACTTGGAATCAGTATATTTATATAGTACTCGTATATACATGGATAATACAACTTCAATTCAAACCCTCATATAAACTTCATTTCGAATTTATTCCCTAACAATTCCACAATACGGTATAATTTACTTTAAAGCAACCTTAAAGCGGTTGAGGCAAGACAATTTTTATTTTAATCATTTTTATTTTAATTAAAATTTAAATTTAAATAAACCGGTTTTCTGGAATCCTCACTAATGCATAAACTCTTCACAAGCTTCTGTATTTGCTTTCATTGTCTTTATCTTTAAACACTTCGGTGACCGTATGACCTATCAAAAAGTGACGTCGATATGGGTGGTTGAGTTCATCAGCGAATTGGTATATTTGCATACAAATACATAATTATTTTAGACTAATTTGTTTTAATTATCAGTTTATTCTTTTAGAAGTTATGTTTTATATATACCTAATAGATAAATATCTAATCTAGTGATTCGTTTTGCTTACATAGATTAG